TCAGCAGTTTTTGTTAAAAAAATTCACGAAAATAGCCTATTTTCTTGCTCTGCAACTGGGGGTATGAAATTGTCTCTCTTCAGGTAACGGTATGGCTTTCTTCCTCTTTCGAAAATAAATAACATCAGAATGTCTTCCTTTACATAATTTACTTATCTACTTTTTTTCATAAAAGGATTAAATTTATTTATCGGTATTTTGGTAAACATTTTTCTTTACAATGTGCAAGCCGGGAAAGTCAAATCATAAAATTTCGAAAAATATTACTTTTTTTTACATTTTTTAAAAGTTGAAAAAAACTAAAATTTTCATTCTCTGACAACTTTTTTCTAAACTCAATATTTTCAGACTTATAAAGTCTTCAGGTTTGACGGGGTTTTAAAATGTCGTGACACACGTCACGACATGTCACTAAAATGTTGTTAGTTCGTGACGTGAAAGTTCGTTCATACGTCACGAAGGATACTAAATTTTGATAGATACGTCACGACTTTTTAAAACGTCATCAAACAGGAAGGATAGCATCAAAGTATCAGGTTGCACCAACACTACAGTAGAAAATGTATTGTACAGATTGCACATATTTTATTTATAGACAATTATGTTAAGAATAAATTTAAAAATCGTAATTTTTCATGTGAATCATTTTTCTTCAGTGCTAAAAGAATTATAATTAGGGTAAACCAGACAGTAGTCGGCCACCGGCTCAGAAACCTTTAAAAACAATGTTTTTTTCGATTGCAAATGTATAGGGTCATTAATAATAATACTACCAACGTTTAGCAAAAAAAAATTTTTTTATCTCATATGGATTTGTTTTTTTAGGGTTCCATGGCTGGATATCTAACGTGTCCTCACTTTTTAATTTTAAAAAAACCAAAATGTTGTCATTTTCTTTACATCAACAGCTATTGACACACGTAGGATTTTTTAGATATTTTGATTTTTTGCAAAATGGTGCGTAATTGATTTTTGATTGACCATTTCATTCAGAAAATCATAAATTTTCAAAAATATGGTAAAAACGTTCTCCTATATTTTAACTCCTTATGACTTCAGAAAACACCTCCTAAAGTATTTATAACCAATTTAAAAAAATAAAAGTAAATTTTTCCAAAAAATATTCAATTAATGTAAAAAGTCATTGACAAATTAAATAAGTCTTTAAGGGGTCGGTGGGATCCAGCTTTTTGTTACGACCACTAGAAACATTGGTGCTAATATATGTAACAGTGTCTGAAAAGAATGGTGGGTTTTTAATTTGCAAAAGAATTTTAGGTAATTTATGGATGGCCTTTAACGATACATATAAGTTTAAACGCGTTTTTCTCAAAATAACGTTTTCTCAAATTGCGGACAGTTTATCTCTGAATCTACTAAACCGATTTTAATAAATAATAACTCGTTTTGTTTGTTAGCGTGTCCTGTGTGAGAATTTACCAGAAATTGGTTAAAAAATTTTAAAAAAACATTTTTGCAGACTAGAAAAATACTAAAAAACATAGTGTATTTTGACAAAAATTATTGAAACATCTGCTATTTTTTTATTTTAGTCGATTTTTCATTATTGGTGGTAGATTTCTATGCAAGACACCTTCCTTTTTAAAAAGCAATTTGGATTTTTTGTTTCCGATTTGTCAATCTTGAGATAAACTGTCCGCAATTGGACAACTAACTTTTTGGAGTTTCGATCTGAATGATGTCTGCAAATTATGATATTAAATAAAAATTAAAAACAAACCATTATTTTTATTTTCCAAATATGTACTAATATAGGCAAAAAAGTTTTTTAAATATTTATAATAAAACACCTAAGAAAAAAAAATTTTAAATTTGGTCTTTTAAGAGCCTTCTAAAGTGTAGTAGTACCTTAAGGAGCATACATTTTTTTCTAAATTTACTTCATTCTTCAGTATTAGAAGAATTATTCATTACGAGTTTGGTTAATTTCAAAATATGCTGAAAAATTATACACTTTAAAAGTAAAAAAATACTCTGAGAAACAAATAAAATTTGATCAAATTTTATTTAAAAAACATTTTAATTTGCTATTTTTTATAAATATTCTACCTATTGTTTATAATAATTATAATCCTAATATGCATTTTCCTATTTTTTACATATAGTATAGTTATGTTGCTGATAAAAACGAGCTGTATTAATTGTTAATAGGTTTAATAGGTTCAATTAATTTAATAGGTTTAAATTTATAAGAGTTTTGTAAGTGGTACATATATATGTACCGCGGCACTACAGGGTTATAACACTCGTATCCTTAAAGGTCAGATATATTAGGGTTTCGTGGCCAAGGGCCAAAACCCTTATAGCGAGACTTCGGTGTCCGTCCGTAGTTTTTACGTCTTAAGTCTTATACCGAGACTTCGGTATAAGAAGGTCTTAAGTCCTAAGACTTAAGACTTAACTTCGGTATAAGAAGGTCTTAAGTCCTAAGACTTAAGTCTTAAGTTTTAGGACTTAAGACTTAACTTCGGCATAAGAAGGTCTTAAGTCCTAAGTCTTAAGTCTTACGTCTTAACAACCGTTGCCATGGCAACTTCGGTATAAGAAGGTCTTAAGTCCTAAGTCTTAAGTCTTACGTCTTAACAACCGTTGCCATGGCAACTTCGGTATAAGAAGGTCTTAAGTCCTAAGTCTTAAGTCTTACGTCTTAACAACCGTTGCCATGGCAACTTCGGTATAAGAAGGTCTTAAGTCCTAAGTCTTAAGTCTTAACAACCGTTGCCATGGCAACCGTTGCTATGTTAATGTTTGCCATAACAACCGTTGCTATGGCAACCGTTGCTATGGTAATGATTGTCATAACAGCCGTTGCCATGGCAACCGTTGCTATGTTAATGTTTGCCATAACAACCGTTGCCATGGTTTCCATGGTTCATTACAATTTTTTAAAAAAGGACAATTGATTCCAAATAAAAAATTTACAGTCTTAGGGACAAAAAACAAAAAAAAGATTAAAATTAATTTTTACATAGTTCCAGAATTTTTGTATATTGCTAAAAATAAATTATTAAATTCTTAATTTGTTAAAGTTTTACTTTTTGATAATATATTTTCAATCACTCCTATTCCATATCTTCATTGAAAACATATGCGACATGAAAATACTCGAAAGTACTAAAAGAACCAATTACTTCATTAAAATTTTTAAACAATTAATAAAAAAAAAAAATTTCTAAATAAATTATTATTTTTTTTTTTATTCATTCATTATCATTATCATCATTTTTGTCATTTTAGGCCACGAAACCCTATGGTGTAGGCGCATTGCGCCTGCTTCTCTGCCTGATTTTTTTTTATTAAGATTCTGAAAAAGTCTTTCTTTCAAACATTCCTTGATTACTAATGAATTTTCATCATTCATTCCGAATTTTTATGTCGTATACCAGGCTTGAGAAATACTCTCTGAATTTGAGTTAGTAAAAATGTTTACTAATTTGAATTAGTGACTGAGTTTTTGCTTTTGAATTAGTAAATTTTACTAATAAATTAGTAGAAATTACTTTTTATTAGTAGGGTAATGTTACCTGGAGTGGACTGCTTAATCTTTTTTTCAAAAAATTCTTTATGAAAGCAAATTAATCGGAGGTTTCTATTCCGAGCTTTAGTTTAGATCCCTAGATAAGTGTTTATACTATAATAGCTTTGATTTTTTTTTGAAAAAAAATTGACTTTAAAAAAAGCTAATTTTTAAGGAATGAGAAAAGAGTAACCTTGAGTAGACCACTCCTGACAAATTGCGAAAAGAGTCCGACAATCAATAAAATCTCAAAGAATTGCAAAGGTTATTCTAAATTCTTTAATGTATTTAATAATTCTGATATATTAAAGCAAAATTTATGCTTATGCAGCTTCAGACCATGTATGAGTCGTAATGTTTGCAAGTGAAACCATTTTTTATAATTTTGGCACATATCACATCAATATCACAATAAAATTAATAAAGAACATAAAACATAGTTTCAAACCAATTTATTGTCAATTTATATCCACAAAAATGGTAAACTGACATTAAAAATAGAATAACAGTCCACTCATGGTGACATGCAACTTTTTATGGCAGCCACCACAATTTTTTTTTAATTAAAAATTATCACCTAATTAAACTAAGACAATCAATTTGAATGTTCAAAGTAGTAGGAAAAAAATAAGTTACCTTTTAAAACTTAAATTGTACACTACTTTTACACATCCGAATCACTTTACTTATTGTAAGAGCGACTTTTTTTGGTTTGAGTTCTTAAAAACGCGTTACATCAAACGATAACGTATATGTTTATCGCGGAACTTAATTTCTTACGGTTTCTAGGTGCGGTGCTGCTATTCGCACTATTTATTTCACGTTTCCGCTGTCAGATAACTTAAAAGCTAAGAGGCGGTCCACTCATGGTGACATTACCCTAAAATTTACTTATTCAAAAGCAAAAAGTCAGTCTTTAATTTAAATTAGTAAACATTTTTATTAATTCATTTAGAAAGTAGTTCCCGACTTTTTGATAAACTTTTTTTTGCTTAGAGAAGATTTAAAAAAAAAATTTTTAAAATTGCTAACAAGCTGCTCGCTTACTGCGCTACGTGTCACAGTGGGATTTGTTTTATAATTTCCTGTGCAAAATTTTTTAAAGTCTACAATTTTTAATCAATTTGAGTATTCTTTCTTTTAAATACAAAAAGATAATAAATTCTCAAGACACCTTGAAATCTGCTTTTAATGTTTCATGGTTTATAATTTTTTTAAATCAATAATTAATAAATTCGTAATGTAAATTTTTTAAAAAAGGACGTTTATTTTCTTATTTCTTTACTGCACATAATCTTAATTAGTTCAAATTAAAATAATATGACCTGTATTCGTATAAGGCATAAAATAATTTATTTAAATTGTTATAAACAATAATGATTAAAAAATATTAAACTCTAGTTTCTCTGCATCATAAACAGTATATTAAGCAAGAAGGGAACAAATGGCTGTTTTTACTTACGATACTTTTTATTCCAAATGCACAAAACTGGTGATTTCATAGAGCAGACAACATAGAGTAAACGTCATCCTGTTGTTTAACGTGTTATAAGATGGCGTTCACTTTATTCAATGTGAGGGAAGTTCACAATTATTAAAAACATAATTGTTTATAAAACTATTTTCGCAGGATAAATTCCCACAAATGATGTGTCCATGATAAATATTATAACTCAAAGATAAAATTATATAAATTTCACATTTATTTAAATAACTTAGAAAAATGCTTGTCTATACAGCGTGGTTCTAGACGAAACTAAAAATAAATAACGTAAGACGAAAATCGCGCACTTCTATCCCCGTCCCTACGTGCAAGAAAAAAGTCGTCACAATACCCTCCTCCTAGTATAATGATAATTTAACAGTGCGAGGTAATTGTTTAAAAACAGCAAAATAGTTTACACAATGCATTAAAAAGGAATTTCTGTGCTATCGTAGTTTGATAACACAAATAAAACTGAAAGTGTATGTGTAAGTGCATGTATAATGCTATAAAATATAATATAACAATATAAGTATTATTATTTATTACAAAGTCCATTGACTAAATCATTTTACCATCGAAAGTTAACAAAATATATCTATATTTATTTTTGTAAAAAAAATCTATTTATATACTTTGCATTTATTTAATAAATATTACCTTTAAACAAAAGATATAGCTTATTTTTCATGTAGAAATATCGCTGTATTATCAGTCTTTTTATTCTTTTTCCATACATTAAAATTAAAATAAAATTTGATTGAATAGAAATGTTATTTCTTTGGAACAGTAAATAAGACTATTTTCTTGTTTACATAAGTGCTGAGCACCGGCCTACGTAGGACTACACTTATTATTTTGTGAAGTCGTTGGTATAGAACCTTTTTAATGGCTTAAAGACCTATTTGTATTTGCTTGACTGGTTTGCTCGTCTATCGCCCTGTATTCTGTCGGTGATGTCGTCGAGTCCAAAACATTGTTTCGCAAACCAAGCATAACCGTAGATAGGGAATAAATCTATTTCGTATTGCTGTGACACATTATCGCCGCTTTTACTGTGTAATGACAGCATTCAATTGACCCGTTGGCTACAAAGTGATAAGTAGTTGTCCTTATTCTATTATACCCGGCCATGTTTAATAATGCGCTAAATACTCGGGACTCAAACTGTCTTCCTTGGACAGTTGACGAAATTTCTAGAGAACCAAAGCGAGATATCCAATCATCAAGGAAAGCGCGGTAAATTGTATTTGTGGAATGTTTTATCTGCATTTCGCAAACTAAATGACATGCACAGAAATTCATCATGCAATAAATGTATTAGGAATTTATCCGAAACAGTATTTATGTTATGAAGTCTGTAATCTCCAAAAACTCTCCACTCGACAGTTGTTTTTCCTATTAGAGGCCATACTTAAATTTCGTAACGCTTTTTCTGTCATTTTACACCTCTCTCCCCAATGTAACAAATTTTTACGTACATTAGAGCCTTTTTGTGCTGAGTGTAACAAATATCTTGACCTACCCCACTCCCTGAAGGGTTACGTAATTTAAGTATGGCCCCTTACTAGCAGATTTACTTCTATTCCTTACTGTTAAATGGTTCAGAACGTTAGTTTCCGCAAAATCCATTTCTGTATAAAATGGCACCCACATTGGCTGCTAATGATCTTTAGTAATTCTTCGTGAGAATTTTCAGAAGAATCAGCACTAGAATTTGACTGATCCGAAACTTCTACTTATTGTCATCTTGGTATAGAAATCTAATGCAACCTGTACTTCAATAGCTTTAACGTTTTTCTTACGAACTCCAGAGTAATCAAACAATAATTTAATTTCGACAAACCAAACTTCTCGTTCTTTATAAAAAAATTTTATTATATAATTTTTCCGTAGGAACACCATCAACGTCATCACCTTCGTCGGTTATATTGTTTATAATGATTTAACAAATTATTTTATATTTGTAGAACAAATGCTTATCTGTCCAGATAAAAAAATAAAAGTTATTAAATCTACCAAAATGTTACCTACAATAGTGGAAGTCTACATGTCAATGATGAGAATGAACAAGACAAAAAGCTCAAGATTGCACCGAAAACTAATTGTAAAATTGTCAAACCTTTCTTTCTTGGCTGGTTTTTTAAATAAACATTCTCTCACAACATTTAGTAGGCAATGAGTGTTACGCCATTTCCGTAACAAAATTTTTTTACAAAATTTTATTATTAATTATTATTCTTGAGAATGCATAATCACTATTTCGAAATCGCGTAGAAAATGAACTCGGGCAAAGGCAATAAGGAATTCTTTTCGATCTGAAAGATTATTTCGGCAATCAAACTATTTTTTTTATGTTTATGGCTTTCAGGAAAAACGAATTAACATTAGAATTAAAAAAAGCTATATGGCATATTGAAATATTCTGTATTATAAGTTTGTTTTTAAACACCACATGACTTATTTTAAAATTTAATAAAAGCCATGAGTGTTAGAAAAACTAAAAATTAAAAATATAATTAAAATAATTAATTTTTAAAAATTAATTATTATACTATGTATTTAGAAATAACGAACGAGATGAGAGGCTTCACTCAACGCGTTGAGTGAAGGCTCCACGCGCTTCCTTCGGCATTGTGCGAGAGTGAAGAAAGATTGTGTATAGCATTTAAGCGTTCTCCCTCACACATATTGTTCTTACGGAGTATAGCGTAAGCTATTATGTTGTCCTCAAACGCCATTAAACTTTCATCAATACTAATGTCGCGTTCTGGGATGTAAATCTTTTTAGTTATTATTTATCATCTCATAAACTTTACAAATTTTTTTTAATGTACACTACCGTCCAAAAGTATCAGGACGATTACATTCGACTCTATAAAAAAACATGCCATCACTTTTTCAATCATATCTCGGAGATAAAAGGAGATACAAGAAAGAATTAAATACGGTTAGAAAGCTGATTAAATTTTGCGTAAAATAAGCCGTCTTTAAAGTCATTTCGATAATTATTTGTTGAGTTGTAGAGTGAGAAAGAAATAAAAAAAATTATCGAATTTTCTCATTTTTGTCTCTTGACTTCAACTTTTTCAAAAATCTAAAAAAATTTAGATAAATGTTTTTTAAAAACACAGAAATCTTTGTTAGAATTTCAGCTTTAAAATAAGCCTTCGAAAATTAAAAAAGGTTAATCCGTCTTCGATATATCATTAAAAATGTGAAACCGTGTTTTGATCGATTGGTGCATTGAAGTTCTACAGTGAAGACTCGATTCTGGCTTTGCGCGGCAGCGAATGAGAGAAAACAGGGACGAATTTTTGCTAGAGAATAATAAATAATGATGTTTCACGAGTAATATAAAGAAACTCAAAAGTTCATCGTTTCCGCGCATGAATTCGTTCCTGTTTTCTCTCTCATTCGCTGCCGCGCGAAGCCACAATCGAGTCGTCACAGTTCAATTTCAATGCACCAATCGGTCGAAACACGGCTTCACATTTTTAATGATATATCATAGACGGATATTTGCGTCTGCGCAAAATGTTTGCAGGCGCGAATATATGCTCGTAGAGAATTTATCCATTTATGCGCGCGGAGAATAAATTTATGCCTCACTGTGTACACTAGCTCTTACTGAAATTTGCATCCAATCCTTTAGTAAGCATTCTTTTTCTCGCTTTTTCGTCATTTTCTGGCTCAGAATCAAAATCATTTTGTGCCTGATCAAATGAATTCTTAGATTCATTAGAGGATAAATTTCCCGAATCAACGGAAACATCATCAGAGTCAGTACTATTGCCTGACATTGCAATCACTTATATTGCTTTCAAGTTAAAAAAGTAAAATCAATTCTAAACTAATTACTAAAGAGATTGAAAAAAATTTTAAAAAGAAGTATTTTGAAAAGAAAACGCAGTAAATACCAACTTAAACTTATAAGTAATAACTTTAAAATACTTCTTAAAAAATTAAGTTATTTAAAATGAAATTATTTTCAGAAATAGAAATAGTTTCCTAGTTTATGAGGCAAACAAAAAAGACACTAGAATTTGGAATTTTCTTATGAATTCTAAAAATTTAATTTTTTCCAAAACTTACAATGAAAATCCCTAACTTTTCTCTGATTTATTTAACCAATTCTACGTTCCCTGAATTCCCTAACCTGTTGCAACCCTGTAATGTATGTGTCTATCATATTCAAAATTCCTTCTTCGTAGAATTCATTTTTTAAAAATGAAGTAAAATCATTCAAATACGATAATTTATAAGATTTTCAGTCGTCTAATTTTTTTGTGCAACAAAGGCGTATTATGGACACATTATGTACCTGTTCCCCTTAAAATCCAGCGGAGCGGTCAATAAAGTAACCATTATGGCCCTAAGGCAATAAAGTGTAATTTATTGACCGCTCACAGGTCAATAAAGTACTTTTTATTACCGACTTTTTTGTAGCAGTGTAATTCACGTCATTTCTCGTATATAAAGGTTTTCGGAGTCGCTGAATACGAATTTGAGGTCATATTTTAAAAATTCAAAATGGCGGATCCAATATGGCGGCCATCTTTTCTAAAGACTAATTCAATTTGCCTGAAAATTGTTACTCGGGGGTTTTTGGGAGCGCTAATTACTAATCCGATGTCCCTTTTCAAAATTCAAAATGGCGGATCCAATATGGCCGACATCTTTTCTAAAAACTGATTCAATTTGCTTGAAAATTGTTACTCGGGGGTTTTCGGGGTCGCTGAATACGAATTTGAGGTCAAATTTTAAAAATTCAAAATAGCGGATCCAATATGGCGGACATATTTTTTAAAAACGGATTCAATTTGCTTTAAAATTTTTACTCGGGGATTTTCGGAGTCGTTGATTACGAATTAGATGTCAGATTTTAAAAATTTAAAATGGCGGATCCAATATGGCGGACATCTTTTCTAATAATTGATTCAATTTGCCTAAAAATTGTTAGTATGGGGTTTTAAGGGCCGCTGTTTACTAATCCAATGTTAGAGTTCATGTTAGGCAATTGTTTTTCTATAGTCACCAATGTAAACGAACATTTAATTTTGACATCGTTTTCTCATTAGGCATTTGTTTATCGCATTGTCACAAATGTAGATTCATATTCTATTCGGATCGCGTTCTCATGTTAGGCTTTTGTTTTCCGATTTTCACAAATATAGTCAAGCATTTTAGATTGATTTCGTCTTTGCGTTAGGCATTTGTTTTTCTGATTATTACGAATATAGAAATGAATATTTCATTAATCATTATGATGCCGGTTTTGCGTTAGGCAATTGTTTTTCACATTGTCACGAAGGTAGACAAACATTTTATTCTGATCTCGTTTTTATTTGGACATTTTATACACTAAATTGAAACCGCTATTCTACATTTTAAAAAATTAAAA